ATTGAAAAAAATATTGCATTATTAAAATATATCTTACAAGTGAAGGCTGCAAGTAACATTGTCTGGAAAGTAGGATATCTCCTGGAAAAACCTTTTCCCCAATAGGAGTCTGAAAGAAAATGGAACAAGATTGGTTTTCAATCATTGACAAAATATTGTTGTGATTTTATGATGTAATGAAAAGTTTGACTTGTCGAGCTAAGCTCTGCTATACGACAATTAATCCCACCAAACATTAAGTACGCCTTAAGCATCACATGCTATATATGGATCAGAATCTGCAAGTGCCTTATGCACTCTGCTATCTGTTTCAATCTAACATGATCACACATAATCCCACACATGGTAGCTAGCAAACAAGGAAACAAACTCTAAATGCAATTTGTCTGTTCCCCCATCCTTGTCAACTAGCATTCATCTTACTGTTTGCAGGACAAGACTGGGTGCCTGGTAAGTGTGCATTGCTAAAGTTACTGTTATAATCTAGTGCCAGACTTTCTTATTCCAACCGACTTTGCTCCAAACACAAAGCTCATCATTACCGATGAGTTTAAAGTTTTATAAAGAAGAGGATCTACTATAATTAATCAGGCAGTCACTAATCTCACCTCAGAGAGACTTCTATGTGTTTGCCATTGGTACCCTTAACTACAATTGATGAAGGCTGTTTTTCAATTACAAGGCATCTAAAATGCAATTGTATATCAATATTGATTGTATTCATTCTTTCAAAGAAATTAAGTGTTAATCCTGAGTACACTAACTGTACCTTTTGATAAATGCAGCAAAAGTTCTTTTTGTTTCATTGTATATTCTTTCAAAATAATTTAACGACTCAACTTCCCAGAACTGAAAAGTAAAAACAGTGAACACACACAAATAGGGATGAGAGGGAGGGATGAAAGGGAGAATCTGGTATTAATATTAATTATTCATGAAAATAGAATGCTATATTATAGCATTTAAAATTAATACATGTATATTTCTTGGTATAAATTCACATTCATGAAGAGACAGTTTTACTAGTTTGGGTATTTAAATCTTATTTGTGTGAATTCTTGGAGACTTTCATTGTCTACAGATTAGAGTGTTTCAATAACTAAGGTACAGAGTATGAAATTCATTATAGGGACATTTCTGCTACAACCATACTGAAGCATACAGAGATAGATCAATCCTGTATGGAATGATAATAGTCCCCTTCACAGTTAGGTGCGCCATCTTGAAAGGTAGCCGTGCCTTTGCATCGAAGCGAGACAACCGTTGAGCGTGCAATGATAGATACCTGTGAATAATTGTCTGTATGTATGAAAGAAGGTTTCTATCATTGCACGCTCAACGGTTGTCTCGCTTCGATGCAAAAGCACGGCTACCTTTCAAGATGGCGCAGGTAACCGTGAAGGAGACTATTGGTTCATTTGGACAAAACTGCATATATTTACCTGCTTCATTTGTTGCATTTGTTTCAAGAGCAACAGAGCAATCTTTTCACAACTATAAAAATTGAAATGATAATCAATCAGTATAATATAGTATAATAATTTGGGAAGAACATATATAATATATCTTGTATGATGTGACTTGGTCTTTAAAAGAGTTATTATAGAGATAGGACTATGAAAACCTATTGGGCTGCAAAAATGACTGGCCATCTGGGAACAAGTTTCTAAATTAATCTGGATGAAAAATGAACCCAACCACAAGAACAAGCACATCATAATTAAGTAAGCTAATTTACAAGTTTTATGTATTTTTGCTTCAATATACAGCTATTTTTAACTACTCTTACAATGGTTGAAGGACATCTAAGTCAGGTGGTACAGGCCAACCAACTTGGGCACGCAGTTTTTGAACATTCCAGGAATTGATTTGGTCGACAATAATGTCTTTGATATTTGATAAGGTTATCTTCTGATCATCTGTTAAGAACTACCAAGAAGCAAAATGTTAAAGTGTTTCTT